GGAAAGCTTTGACGCCAATCAGAAATTCTTAGATGCATTAATATCGATGAGGCGGCGGCGAGTTCCGTTTCTTGTTTGGCGCTCATTGACTGTGGTTTTGGTCTACACTTGGATATAGACAATCTGAGTGACGGCGAGGCAACCGTAAAGCCCTTGGACGGTAGCCAGGCGCCGATCGGCATTGAAACCGGTGGTCCAAAGTGGCCGTAAGTCATGCCTTTGTCGAGCTTGGAATTTCTCCGGCTGGCATGAAAGATGGACACATTCGAATCGATAAAATTACGTCTATCTTCAGAGGTTGAAATCATTATGCAAACACGAGAAAGACAAGAAGGACAAAGCGACGTTGTCGCACTGGAGGACTGGAGTGAAAGTGAAAGAGAGGATCGGCAGGGCAAGAGAGTCGAGCGTACAAAGAGATCACAGATGACCTCAGCGGCGAAAGAACGACGATTTCTATCGGCTTGAAAATATCACGAGGGGAGCCGAATATTCATGATTTGAAATTACCTCTATTACGAGCAGTACTTTCTATGTAATCTAGAGTAACGGCTACTGACTACTGCCCTGCCACCAATTCAGAGTAAAGCATTGTCGCAATCTTTGGGCCACCTGCTTAGATCAATAAATCTGAAGAAACAAGAACATTAAAACACATTAAAAAATACTGTACGTGCACCACCACGAGGTGAAGCAGACTTGTGGTTTCGATCGATTTCCCCCGGGCGTGAATTAAATATGCCGGGCAAGCATTGGAGAGAAGCTCTATGCCTTCTATTTCATCATATGTCAACATCCCAACATTCTCCTGCAGAATGAAAGCGAGTAGTAATTGAAAGGGAATGGTCAAATGGGTGCTCCTACTATCGTGGTATTGCCCTACTGTAAATTCCTGGAAACTTTTGTCCTGGGAAAACTGAGGAAGACAGTTGATTGATGACTCCTTCTAAATCAAGCAGGCCTAACCAAATTTTCACTCTTCATAGAACTGTCTGTCAATGCTGATAATTCAACTGATTTCGGTTGCCAGTTCCTCGACTTTGAGGCTCTGTTTGATTCAGTGCCTCATCGAACGAGGTGAAGAATTTCAAAAAGCTCTGGATTCTTGAACATTATGTTACCATTTTTGAACCGTGTCCGCTGTGAAAGTCAGA